TCGCTCATTCCTAGACTCATTGAGGGATCTTTTTATGGCCGTTCTTCCTTCTTTGCCAGCTCTGGATTGCTTTCCGGTCCATTGGAGGGGATGAGAATGAGCGTCGACCGGAGGTAGAAAAATCATACAATGACGGAACGGCCTGTGATTGAGTGATCTCTTGAAATGCCATGCATAGAGAAGACTGGGCCCCTCACTGAAGGGCAAAACTCGAAACCTACGAAAACCGAAGCTTCAAACCGGTTTGCTCTATACCGATCCAGGGGGTAGAATTCGGAAGGCTGGCCGGGGTTGTGTCCTTACGAGCGTACGAGGCCGGCTCGGTGACCGAGGGCTTGCGTGGAAGTCTTAAAGAGCCACAGGCTTGGACGTTACTTCTGAATTTCTCTGCTTTTTTGAGGCCCGAATGAAGGTTCGATGAGTATCGGGTGCTTGAGTATGAGTCAGAGTTGTTACCAATCCTGCGACCACACGGATCTCCTGATTTTTATGTAAGTAGAGTCTCTATCGCCCGGCCGGCTTGTTGCCAATTGGCGAAGCGCAGTGAATGAGTTCAGGAGTTCTTTCCACAACTGGCGCCTTCGGGAGAAGCTGGATAGGTTCTGACTCTGAAACCTGTTTTGTATTCAACCCCCATGTTAGGGCAAAACCCACTTCAATAATGAACTAGATCCTTGTGTTGCCCAAAGCTACTTTCCCCAACGATCTCTTTTCAAGGTTCCGGAACCTTTCAAAGAGAAGAGCTGAAATGATCTTCTTCCCACTCTTTGGTTGAAAACGACATCTCAATGAGGACTGAAAGAACGAAAGCGAAATACGTCAGCTACGGAGATGGAAAAAGTAGTAGGAAGTCAAAGAGCGTATTCGGAGAGGATAAGGCTCGAGCTAAAAGCGAGAGGGTGTGGAGACCTCAAGGCTTGGAACCAAGCATTGCTCGCGCGAACGCTTTGGAATATGGTTTTTGAACTGAGCCTGTTCCCACTCGTATGAGGACATGGCATTATTCACTACTGATCATGATTTCACTTCCGCCGAACCGGCCCGGGTTCGAGGTTTATCCCGAGACTGAAGGCCCTAACGATTAGTCTTTGAAGCAAATTTCCGTCGTGAGCCCATTCTTCACTTTGTCAAGCCAACTTTAGAAGCGAAGCGAAGTTCAGTCTGTATGGCCGTCATCGGTTTGCGGAAGCACTTCTCTCGCTTTACCTATTTCTGTTACACCTTTCCTTTTTCACTCCCTTCCGAAGGAACTCTTTGACTTCACTGCGCTTCTCGAATCAAGCTTTTATTGCAACATGCTATGTTTTCTCCCCCATTGCTAGTAGGTTGATGGGTCGCAGACAAAGACGACGCTCTCGGAGGTAGGCTTTATGACTGAACTTCGCTCCAAGTAACCCACCCACTCCCCAAGGACAGAGTAGAGGAAAAAAAAGGTATGGTATAGCAGCCTTTCCGAGCGAAGTAAAAGCAATCGAATAGTAAGCAGGCAGGGAATTGAGCTCATAAAGAATGCAGTGACTGAAGCAATACGTATCCCATACTTAACGTTTGATAAACCAACGTGACCTAAGGACCAACGACGAGCATATCCTAAAAGTGCCAGGAGGAGTCAGTTTTCTTTCAAGAGATGAACAGACAGAGACCATGAGAAACTTAAACTGTTTCAAAAACAAAACTTTCATTTTCTTTTTTCAATTAAGTTTCATAATTATCTCTTTTGCCTCATATACTTTCTTTTGTACTCTACTATTTCCGAAAATGGAAGAGGGCGAGTTGCCAAATCCCCCGCAGGTAATCGCGCAGCTTTGCTCTTTCTTTTTTCTTTTTAAATTTCCGCAAGGGCATGAAAGAAAGGACACATGCTCCTTCTATCTGTATTTTTGAGCATTCTGAGTAGTTTCTTTTTTCGAGGAGGAAGTCCTTAGCTACTCTTTTTATTTTCTCTATGCTATATATTCATAATCTATCTCTTTCCTTTGAAAGATTCAGATTTGTCACTCTTTCTTCTCTTTACTTTTTATAGCTATGATCCCATTCTTGCCAAGTGGGGCTTCTTCCTACTAACTCAGCAATTTTTTTTCTTTTTCATAACCTTGCTTTTTGCAAAAGACCAGCCGCCCTGCCGGAAGACCCGGTTTGTCCACTTTTTGTGCGTAGGGGCATTTCTGTTATTGGCGGGTTTTCTCCGCCATAATTCCAACTAGTTGGCGCAACCTGCAAAGCTTTCCATCTTGTTCTCAGGCGCTTGCATTATTTATATTTGTTTGAAGAAGCGAACGAAATTGGAATTTCTTTTTTGCTTTCTTTTTTATTTTATCATTAGTATCACTGCAGGGTTTTTGCTTTCATCTCCTCCCCAGGAGAAGCTATGGGGGATTCCATACGGAATCTTCATTTTCATTAGTCTTCATCTGTTGGGGCTTTTGGGCTATGGGGTATTCCATAGAAATCTCCCCCAAAAAAAGCATACCCTGGTGCCCCTATTTTATAGCTTATTTTTTTACATAATCGGTTATTTTCTGGGGCTGGCTTGGCTGGCAAGGTGGGTCGAAGGCATGGACCTTCTCCTTTGTATTCTTTGTCTTTTTTCCCTTCTTGAAGAAGAAGAAGAAAATGAGAAATGAATACAAAATGAAACGCGAACAGAGTCTTAAATTAAAAGATGTTAGAAGGGGCTAAATTAATAGGGGCCGGAGCAGCTGTCGGTATTGGAAACGTCTTCAGTTCTTTGATTCATTCTATGGCACGAAATCCATCATTGTCGAAAGAATTGTTTGGTTATGCTATTTTGGGCTTTGCTCTTACCGAAGCAATTGCCTTGTTCGCATTAATGATGGCCTTTTTGATACTTTTCTTTAAACATGGAAGAGTTAATCACAGCCGTTCTTCCCTTTTAAAAAGGGGTCCAAGAAGCACTACCACAAGTTCCATCCTTGGAAGTGGAAGGGTTCAACCACTTACCAGGAATGGAGGTGAACAATCGCTTAGTTATACCACCCAATACACATCTACGTGATATTGTCACGACCGCTACAATCTCATTCTCTGTTGGAGAAAATGGGGGTGGCTCCGCATAAATTTCGCAAGATGAGATCTGGAATGACCTAGAAACCCCTGAGGAAGCCGAAGCCCAAGCGGTGCGTAAAGAAAGACAAAAAGTCCTAGCTGGAGCTCCAACGGAATTACAAAGTCTTTCAAGCGCGGGCAATGACAATTGTACAGTCAGAAGGGATCGAGGTAGAGGACCCGGAAGACATAAGGAGAGCGGCAGACGTCTTCCTGGAAGAGAAAACTCCTCAGAAAGTGTCTTATGCTTGTAAGGCAATTCAAAATCCCAATTCAAAGACTCAAAAGGATTTTCTGAAGAGGACGAATGAAGGTGAACCGAGTTTTAGGTAGTATAGTTAACCAATTGGACTTGGTTTCGGTACCAACCCTGTGTTCCGATTAAGAATCAATTCATCGAACCTTGTTTCTGAATAGCTATTCTTCATACGTCAGAACCTACTGAGATTGACTCAGAAATTGAACTTTCGTCCTTCTATGGCGGTGGTGCCTTCTACGGCTGTTTGGATTCACCTCCCTTCCCTTGGAGTTCTTTAAAGAAAACATTCTTATGGAAACTGGTAGAAAAATTGGTACGCCAAAGAAGTTGGATACAACGACTTCTTTAGCCACGAAAGTGAGGTTCACCCGAGTTTGGAAGTGGATTTGCAGAAAGCCTTATTGTCTAAAGTAAGGGTGGGTAACCAGGTACATAGGGGGAGTATGAAGGTTTGCATACAGTGTGTTTTCACTGTGGAATTGTTGGACATCGGGCGGAAAATTGTATCTTGAATACGGCTCCGGTTCAAACTACGGTTGCAGAGAAGTCGGTTGGTGGAGGTGTGCCCATACATAGGCGAGAATAATTTATTCTAAGAAGAACTACTTTTATCTTCCTCTTCGCCTTACTCCTTCGTCCCCTCGTCGCTACGCTTAGAATAGCTCGGGTCTGCGTGCCTCCTAGAGTCTTGAAGGATCCAAACTCAGGAAAAGTTTCTGTTCCCCCACCACCCGACGTGATGATTGTGCCAAAGCCTTTTTTGAATGTGACACATTCTTCTGAACCTCCGGATTCTAATACGAAAATGGACACTGATGAGGATGTGATTTCAATCAAATAGCTCTGATATGCTTGTAGATGGCCTTGCTCAGCAAGGAAACCTTAACCCTAATAATAATCCATGAAGATTATTTTTTGGAAGAGGTATTGGGAATAATGTTTTCTTACGAAATTGTCGAGAATTATTACAACGGGAAAATCCAGATATTCTTTTGTCTTCTGGAAACTAAAGCTTCTTGGGGGGGTTAGTTTGTGCGTGTAAGTCTTTGGCTGAGGGTCTCAAAGTCAGCATTGGTAATGGGTAGTCTACATCATTTTGGTTCGATAAATGGCTAGATGCACCGTTGATTGATGAAATTGCTTCTTATAATATGGATATACATCAAGTTGACCTGAAGGTGAGTGAGGTTCTGGAGAATGGTACGTGGGATGCAGGTAAAATCTTGACTATGCTGCCACTGGACTGGGCTTTGAAAGTCATTGGCTACCTGTTACCTCGGATATGCTACTTGTCAATTAATGTGGAAATACACACCTGATGGAAGGTTTTCTACAAGGTCAGCCTATAATGCTATGTTAAAAAATCTAATAGGGGAGACCCCTGGTTCCTATAATTGGCTCTGGAAACTCAAGGTGCCTGCAAGGTGGATTTACTGAATTTGGTTAGCTCGAAGGGGCAGGCTTCTCACTAATGAAATGAGGGCGAAATGGCACAATGAAGCCAATGGTATGTGCTGCATATGCCAAACATCAATTGAATCAACCTTGCATGCTTTGAGGGACTGCCCCGAAGTTGCTAATATTTGGAGAACAATGGGTGCCGTTTGATTTGTGGAATGAATTTTTCTCTGCTGATTTGCAAGCCTGGATTGATGACAATATTGTATTGAAGTCCATGCCAAGAGTTTTAGATTCAGATTGGCGATTCGTTTTTGCAACATGCTTATGGAGAATATGGAAGAGGAGATGTGAAGTGGTATTTAACTCGAGCTGCGTGGTAGATGCTGAGAAACTTTTGAAGGTCATTGAGAGCTCCATTATAGAGCTTAATTCAGCCTTTCCGAAGCTGGAAAAAGGGAGTATAACAGAGGGCCAAGTAGCATGGGAGAAGCCCAAGGAGGGATTTATTAAAATCAATACAGATGGGGCATGTAAAGGAAATCCGGGAATATTAGCAGCAGGGGGGTTGCTTCGAGATGCTAACGGACAATGGATTGTTGGGTTTATTGCACACCTTGGTATATGCACGAATACAATAGCTGAACTTCAGGCTATTAGGCATGGGTTGGAGCTGGCTTGGGTGTATGGATACAGGCAAGTAATCTGTGAAGTTGATGCTAAAGTTGCGATAGATTTCATAACACAGGAAGACATTGATACACACCCATGTGGGGGGCTGATTGCTGACATTCGAGCCTTAATCGAGCGGGACTGGGTTTGCCATTTACAACACACTCTCAGAGAAGGGAACGAAGGAGATGAGGCGAAAGCCGAAGGGCAATGCGGTAATTTCTTTTTTATTTGAATACCCCGGTTTGCAAGCATTTCGTCTGCTTCTAATTCTACAATCGAGGCGCGTAGAATTATCTGTAATGGATCAAGATAACCTGAAGGCCATGGTGCTTGATTTTTACCAAGACTTGTTCAGTTTAGATATGCAAAATAGGGTGTTGTTACCTGCCTTGAATTGTCCAAGTATTCCGGCGGCTGATAGGCAAATCATTGAGGCTGATGTCCGTGATGAGTAAGTTCACATGGCCCCCTTTCAGATGAAACCTTGGAAAGCAGCGGGGCTATGGAGAAATTCTAGCAGATTTCTATCTCCACTACTTCTTCAGTCTCTTCCTATAAGGAATAAGAAAAGAAGCATCGGTACTGTCAACTAATCCTTTAAACACCCTGTAAAGAGCCCATAAAGACCAGGAACGTTAGAGATAGCATAGCAGTTAAGCTTCTAGAATGAATAAAAGGTCAATTATATCGAGCCTCGCTCTATCGCAGCTTTCAACCCGATTTGTAGCTGAGAAGACGATTCCTTGTCGTCATATAGGCTTGCTCACTTAGGAGTTAGCCTTTTTCGAACTATCTGGTTCGCTTAGGAGATTAAGTCACGGTAGGAGGGTAGACAGATAGATTGCTAAGGCATGACATCCTAGATCGGTTATTCCTTCCTTACTACCTGCTCCTTTCCTACCACTGCTTTCCTGTTTAGCTACTTGGAAGTTAGGAATTAGCCCTAGTGCCGTAAAGGCCGTAATGGTTAAAGGAAGTAGAAGGAAGGCTGCTAGTGCGAGCTGGTGTGAAAGCGATACCGGGTTGCTAACCACCACACATTGCAGAGTGCTTTCAGCTACCTTAGACTCCTATTACCGCTCCGTGGGGGGTTGGTACCGAAGAGATAGACTACCAAAGCGTCACCAATGGGAAGCGACTACCTTCTCCTCCTACTAGCCCTCTGGCTCCTCTAGCGGCCTTGCATAGGCCGTCTGCCTTGCTAGTTCCCTTGCCTTCCTAACCCTAGCGCTAGCTGCACCATCTGACAGCACCAACCGAACGAACCAACTGCTTTAGCAACAGTAGCGGATAGTTTGTTGTCAGCTAACAGGGAAGGGAGATTCAAAAAAGCTGTGAGTCTGAAAGCAGAAGGTGCAGAAGGATATTTTCGATTGATTAGTTCTGAAAGAATTTCACTTCACTCCTCAAGTCAAGCTGAAAAAGGGAGTGCGTACTCGCGCGATACAGCGAAATCCTACCCTTCTGCGCAAATCTATCTGGGCTCCCTTGCGGCTTTATAATCTTTCTTTCAAAGGAGTTCTTTGACTTCACTTCGCTTCGCTTCGTTCGTATCGCTCTTCTTTGGTTTTTTATTTCACTCTGCAGTCATTATTTTCTTACTTATTCTATGTTTCCTTCCTTTTCTCTTTACTGCCTTTTTTGCTTTGAATGTAGCTTAGGAGGTCATTCGGGTCATATTGACAAGAGTGGAAGCAACGGCGACTCTTTTCAGAACGAGCCTTCGGTCTCGGCTAGTGGATCAGCTAACCCTTGCTCCGCGTATATCAACACAAGTTCACGACCGACTTCCAGTCTCGTAATTCATTCTTATCCTTGAGGTCTTGGACCTTTTCTAATATGATAACAAGAACTTCGTCTATGGATATTTTGACTAGAGTAAAGGCGATGAGTCTACTTTGATTTTAGAACTTTCAGCCAACAAAGATCCAATGTAAGTCAGACTTCCAGGCGCATCAGAATCTAATTGGACAGGGATCCTTTCTTCCACAGGCTTCGACTTATTAAGCATCTGTTCATCTCTGTTATCCAAAGATTCCATAAAAAAGGGATGGGTCGGAGAGCAAAGTGGGGTATTGAACTCCTGTAGCCCTCTCCTGTAAGTCGAGCGACTTCGTATCGGTACAGTGAAGGCTACAAACTTGTATGACCAATGGCGGGTATAAGGCGACGAACGTTCTCAAGTGGTAACTTAAGGTTCGACAAAGTTGACCACTGAAGCAATGAAGTTAGGAAGTGACTTGATTTTCATCGCGCTATCACTACAGGATTCGGATCTTCGGCTGATAGTAGTCTTCGGGCTACGAGGTCTTATGAGTGAAATAGAGAGCTACGCAGTGAAGCTATGTTAAACTGAATATTTTAAGAAATGGGATGACCCAGCTAATCATGTGAGGCACGGCGGATGCCGTACACTTGAGTAGAAAGTCATAAGGAATAAAAAAACTTAATTGCGGGGATCAACTATCAATTGTTCCTTGCGATTATAGGGGGTTTAGGGTCGCCACTCGTTGCATATTGAATGTAAGGCAAGTCCTTTTCAAGCTACTTGTGGGACATCCTGACTTACTCCCATTAGGCAAAGAAAGTAGGTTCGATCTCTTCTAAATTGGGAAGTTTGGGGGAGATTCAAGGAGGGGGCCACAGCAGGAGATTCATAGGATCTGTTGGTTTCCTGGTCGGTCAGTCGTAACAAGGTAGCCGTTGAAAGAGTCGGTCTTGAAAACCGAAGTATTGATAGGAAGCTAAAAAGCGCTCTTTTCAAAAAAGATCGTAACGTAAGGAGAACGAAGTGAGTCTCGACTAAAATCCGAAGAAAGATTCAATTGACGACTATACTTTTTTAGAAGCGAAGTTCAGTCAAAGAGTGACGATAAGACTCGAGTAATAAATTACCTCTAGCCGGTGGAGCTGGTTCCTTTATTTAAGCTCACATTGATGCCAGTGTCGTCAGGCTTGGTGGACAATGGAGCCGCAGTGAATATACCACCACTCAGAATGGTAAGAAGGCTGCCCAAGCCCGAGCTCCCTGTCCCGGTGGATCTGACAGTGGATAAGATCACTAAAGTCAGCGCCTTCTTTGTGGTAGATGGAACAGCGGCATCGTTGACGGGTAGAGATTGGACCCATGTGAATTCAGCTGCTGAGGCAGCACGGTACTCAGCTTCCGTCGATTATCGGGCACCTGATCGCTGCTTGCGAGAGCTCCAGGAAAGAGCATTGTCACCAAGATAAACAATCTAAGCTGTGGTAGAGGTACGGTCATCACGGTTACCAGCCCAATCCGCATCGGAGTAGGCATGCAAAAAGGAGTGACAGAGCGCTTTAGAAAGAAACTCTGATAGAGAGTACCTAAGTCTCGAAGTAGGAACCTTCCTTCTATCTTGCAGCCTTCATGCTCAGTTCTATTCTCCCTCGCTCTTGGAAGGCTAGCCGGGAGTGAGTTTTTCGGGTTTGATTTGCCGAGTTCCTTAGGTTACATAGTTCGGTCCAACTCATAGCCCTCCCGATTCAAGAACCTACATCCCACACGGGGAGGGAAATGCAGAGACCGCCTAAATCACCAAACCGTCGGGAACGAACGAAGCGAAGCGAAGTGTACTTTAGAAGCTTTTTTCAGTCATAGAGGAGCTCTATTTGCTACTATACTATGGGGTCTTTGGACGAGTCGGTGCCAGCATATATTTTCACGGTCTTCTTCTTCCCACTTGAAAGTGGTGAATTTATGCTACCAAGCTTAGTAAAGATATCGTGAGGGCTTGTTTGGAAGATCTTTGGCACGTCATATAGGGGTCTACCTGGTCAATTACAATGAGCCTGGCACTTCTCAATTACATCGACCCTCAATCAAGTCTGTGTACTAAAAGGGCTGCTGGTGAAGCGCTAGCCAGGCGCATGAAAAAGGATTGATATTGTATGATAATACCAATTCCGCTAGATAGGGACCCTACTGCCTTTCCCATATTTGGTAAAGATCTTCTGACGAGTTGATGTCACACAAAGAGAAAGAAAGAATGAAAGAACATTCAGTGCGCACGAGAGTTCGCCAATTCGGAATGAAATGAAGGATCTCCTAAATATTGACCACAGCCCGGGTTCGATGCCAGCGGGGCCTCATCTAATGATTAGTGGACTTTCTAGTTAGTTGTGGGATAGCAAGCATGAATCGCGCTAATGCGAGGGCGATTAAGTAGTTGTATTGACACTTCGATTCCTTCTTTAGAGAGACTGATTGTTCATGGGAATGCAGTGCAGACAAGGGTCACTACTGTCTTACGTGGAAGAGCACACCGGAGGACAATGGTATATTTATGCCATGACCTTTGATTTTAGTTAGGGTCAGACCTATGGCTCGCCGCAACTACATTGCAAGCTGGCCTTGGATTGATAAGCGGAATATAGCGGTCAAAAGGACTTCGTTAAACCTAGTGCATTTATAGGATGTGTTTTCCAGTGAGTATGCTTCCGTACCCACCTTCCTCGTACTATGGTCGAGCCCCGACGCGTCCTCTCCTTACATCGAGATCTCCTTAGCGGCCTCTTCTTCTTAGTCTTTACAGCCTCTTTGCCAAACTCAATATTGGAAGTCGATGAAACCCCGTGTTTTGGCATAGATATAATATCAGCTGCTTTAGCTTGAGACTTGGAAGTTAAAGAAAGATGGGGACTGAAGATGTAAGGTAAGATGCTAGTGGTCTAACTCGGGTAAACAGATGAGCCCCCTTTCTTAACTCAACTCACGCACTCAGACTCCTTACTTGAGTCTTTCTCTTCCCGAAGATCGGATGAGCGTGGGATATAGATTCTAAACAGATATGTGTGTGGTCTTCGTGTGCCTCCACCTACAGGGCTGGCTGTGCCCACCATGACGAGTTTTGGAAACAAATGAACGAGGACTCTCCAGCCGACATGAACTCCGAAGCAAAAGCATACACTTCAGACGAGCTTTCTTTTCTAAATTCAATGTATTAGGAATGAAAGGAAGTTTATGAGATCGGGTTTCAACAGTCTCTCTTTAAGAAGGGGGGCTCCCGCTTTCCTGTGTGTCTTCCTTCTGCCTTGTACTACACTTGGTTGTTTATAAAAAAACCTTGCTTGTATGCTGCCTGTGCTTGTAAGTTGTGTGTCTGCCGAGGCTGCGCGTGTGGCGCGATGCGTTTTCCGATTTTGCTGCTGCCTTTGCTCGGTTCGACGTCAGTCCTTGATCCGGTTGAGCCGATCGATCGCATTTCGGCTGACCCAATAACCAGGACGCGTTCGTCAGTCAAATCCTCAGGCCGCCCCTTGCCTTGAAAGAATTCACACGCGGCCACCAGCTTTCCCAAAATAAGGGGTGGGAAAGTCAATAGGCACAAAGATGGTGGTAAATACAAGATTTGACTGAACTTTGCTTTGCTTCGTTCTCCAAGTCTCACTTTGCTCTCCTTACTAGGTTTGAGTTTGAAAGATCAGCTCGATTTGAGATGAAATCTGGCAATAGCTCTAGGGCAGGTTCTGAACCAAGAGTTGGGATTGACCTTTCACTGTGCATCAATAAGAAGGAATAGCAGGTTATAAGGCAAGACTTGTTTAGTCTATGCGCAGGAAGCATTTTTATTAATCCAAGACATATCGGTAAAAGAAAAGTCTATTTCGCGTGAGACCTATATCCGGGGGATGGCCTTGCCTCCGCATTTGAAAAGCCCTTCTTGACTCGATCACTGGCAAGAAAAGGGAATTCAACCGCTTGCTGAGCTGCTTGTTTAGTTGCTATAGCCGAATGACCCTAGCTTCCATCACATCAACTATAAGAATCAGAGTTTCGGAAGAATACGCTTACCTATTTGATAGCCTTAGCTGGCCGAGAAGATCTTGTACAGCTTCTTTCGTAGTAGATCGAGCCGTCTAAGTAGTTCTAAAGACTGATTTCTATTCCGGTTTGGCCATTCAAAAGGGCTACCTTAGCCCGACGGAACTGCGCCTTCTTTTCTTTCATTTCATTACCTCAAAACCCCCCATTTACTCTTGGTCGAGCGTATGAGCCTTAACCCCAAGACCGAACTCCCTTTGTTAATCGCTTTGCTTAAGTTGTCTTGAGATCAGGAAAAAGAAGTCATCAATAGGCGCCTTATCACGGTGCTCCACGTCAGTGGTAGCCAAACCAATGGCTGAATCTTCTT